CTTGTGTTTTACTCACAGGATAATAATTTCACTCCAGTCTGCATTAATGAGACCTCAATGGACTACTGGGTCGAATTTTAGCTACTGTATGTTAAAAATGTGTATACAGGTGAAATGGGAAGTGTCTAGAAGAGCAAGAATGGTAAAACATTTAGAAAGCATTACCTCCAAAGACAAGTCTATGTTGTTCTGTTTAAAGAAAAAAAAAAAAAAAGTTACATGAATGAGAACAGTCTTTCAATACATATGACTGTTACAGCAAAACCATCAACAAGTTGCTTTACAAGACAGCAGAGGAAGTACCAGAAATTGGTCTAGAGACCCAATAAGATTTAAGTCAAATACTATCTTTTTAACTATAAAAGCTATTAAAGCAACTGGAACAAACTACATGAGGACTGTTATAAAGTTTCCACTGTTAGATTAACTGTGCTCTGGCAAGACTAGATACATTCAGTCACTGACTTTTTCACATTACAGAGTTCAACAGCAATTATCTTTTATGGTATTCCCTGTAACCTCTCATTCCTTCTCCTTTTGTGCTCCCTTAACATACCCTCAGTCCTGCCTATCCAATTGTTTTTGGGTCATGCCACAAAATTTTGAAGCTGACCATCCCGAAAAGCACACATCTGTTTTCATAAGTTGTGGGACTTCTCTGGGTTTTGGTGTGAGGTGTCTGCTAATTTCCAAGCTAGAGGGCTTTTCAGGACTCAACAACCCTGCAAAGTTGTTCAACCAGTTCAACCATACTGTAGAACGTGTAGCTTTAGTAGAAAGTGGGCAACATGAGAATCTTTATTTTTTGAGGATTTCTTACGGAAATTAGTTGCTTTTTTTGGACCTTGTTTTGACAGCACCTCAAATCAAATGTGCTGTCAACTCTTATGCCCACACCCCATGATACCATACAAATAGAAGAGTGTCTGTTATACTTTAGATGGCAATCTGCATGAACAGCAAGATTCACAAAGGAAAGACGCATTCATATTGTGTGTTCATGCGTTTATAATATGCTTATTACTATGCAAACATTGTTCTTCAGTAATTTCAGAAAATGAACACAAAAAATGACACATATTAAGAAGGATCTTCTTCAGGATTTTGGACTTGTGTTGGTTACACCTACCAACATTCTTGAAAGGGAAAAATGTGCCAGGACAGCTTTGTAAAAATACCATTATTTGTGATTTTCCTGTTCTGCTATTTCTTGTGCACACTTCTTGATCAAAAGCAAGAGAGCACGTTTATCGGTAGGTCTAAAGTGAAGCTATGTGTAATGTTTTCCCCAGGCAGCAGGGAAATGTTCACTGCCAACACAGGTGTCTGTTCCCACATTTCAGTACACTAACCCAAAGTATTGTGTGGACACAACCACTGGCAGGTCCATGTTATAAACCAGACCCTTGAAGTGATCCAAGTTAAGAATAACTCAAAAAAAGTGCTGGAAGAGGAGTGTTGTGTTGTTGGTTTTTTTATAGAAGCTCAGTGATCTGGTTTATAAAGCAGTTCAGCAAACAGTTGCATCAGCACAACCACAGGAACAGAGAACTGCAGCAGGAAATCAAAGCAGAACACAACCAACTTTATACCATGTTTACCCCAATCCCACCCCACTCACCCAGTATCAAGCTGACCTCTAAAGCCCATTAATAAATCCACAGCACACAAATAAATGCAAGAATGTCTTCTCCAATATATTAGTGCTCAGCAGAGGCCCTAGGTATACAGCTGACTAGATACGTGCTGAAATGCATTCGCATAGTGTGGGAGAGTTACTCACGCATGAGCTTCTTATAGTAACTAACTCTCCCACATTGTGCACTGCGTGTAGTTAATACCTATATGGAAATTCAAAAAATTTGATGTGCAAGAAAGTTGATTTGCCTTCTGAAAACATTAACTTTGATGTTCCCTTCTTAAAACATGAAAAATGTGATATTGCATTAAGTCTGACAGTTAATTTCATTTCTGGGGAAAAAAAAAAAAAAGCAGAGAGATGAGAACACAGGAAAACTTGACATAATAGATAAATATAGTAGAACCACTGGTATAGCACTATGTGAAGTGGATGCCATTAGAGATGAATGATAAAATAACTCATTCTAAATGAAGGACATATACTAGAAGAAAACCAGGAATGCACACATTCACATAACAGCTATCTTACTGCTGGGGGCTGGCAGGAACCTATTGAACCAAGAACTGAAAAAAATAACAAACGTTCTTTTGTATTTTACTAATGTAGTGATAACAGCCAGTGCTGAGGGCCTCCCATGTTGATAGCTTATGCACTAAATTAATGTTTTTTTCTCCTCAATCATTGATTACACTGACTTTTCTATGTCCCCCCCACCTAAAAACATACAAGTGAGAACATAACAGTGTGGAGTAGAAATGAATGGTTCTTACTCAGAAGTTGCAAAAGCACAGTAAGGAAGCAGTCTCCTGTCCACATCTAGATCAAGTAAGATACTAATGGAAGCAGCTCATAGTTAACCTGCCCCTTGAGAAAGACCAGGGAGCTTGTCTATCCATTAAGTATTCATTTATATTTAGCTTTCATAAATATACAATATAGCTATTTTAATACCAAAAAGTACTTAGTAATTCTACATTACCTAAACATGGAGTGCTCACGCCCTTTTCAAACATAGTATCACATATTAGAAATTAATTCAATACCTATTCTTATAATGTATAACCTGAAGAGACAGAATAATGTACTTGCAATCTCATGAAGGGTATCAGAGTAAGAATCATAACCAGCTACCTAGAAAGTTCCAGTTTAGCACATTTGCATAAATATAAACAAATTGAGAGACAATACTACAGAGCACCTTAGGTTTTCATGGTTCTGTACTCCTACAATATAAATTCTTAACCACTATTGAAATTCGACAATACCTCTGAGCAATACTTTTTCCTGTCATACAGGCAGGAAATTGAGAGCCAGAATTAATCTCAAGAGCATGCAACACATTTAGGGAGAAAATAGTTTTAACTAAGGCCTGACAGTCTGTGCTAGGTTTTTAAGTTTTCAGAAATCCACAGTAACAATGTTCCTACCTTGGCTTTCAAACTTAAGGAAAAGAACTTCCATCAGTGTATTCATTTTTATCCATAATGTTTGGTTTAGCCCTAATGCAAATAAACACTACGTATCTAATAAATGCAAAAAGGATGAAAGTGACAAAATAAGAATAGCTTTACATTCATTGCCAGTCATATTACAAGTATATTCAGTATCAACATTAAAGTGGGACTATATGGCAATAAATCAAAATCCACTTAAAAGCTTGACTGTCTTCTCAGTACTCAAGTAACCACAAACTTGTGATGTCACTCACCAGGTCACATTATTTATATTACCATCCCAACATCATCAGACATATCTTCAGACAGATAATCTGGAGCTGTGAAAATGAAAGCCCTATCAGACTCAGGAGCTTTAAACCTGGAGATTTCTGGCCTTTAGTGATTCCTACATGAGAAAGAAACATAACACTGACTTTTCCTCCCCAATAAACATAGAAGAGGCAGCACTGTCAACAATGGGCTAAAATGCATCCTCCCAGGCAGCACCTACAGCCATAACACAGGAGGCTGCCTATTAAGTGCAGTCTGATATTATGGACCAAAAATACAAGATTAAGGTCATTAAGGTGTGTCAGCAAGTCAGAATATTCTACTTTAAGGATAAAAAAACAGCATGACCAAGCAAAAAGAGGTCTATTAGGGAATCTTGACACCTGAATTTTGCCCCGAGTCTTCCACAGTGATACAGATTTGTGCAACCAGAGTGGCAAGATAAAACAATTTCAGTTAGTTTTTTTATTACATACACCCATCATCATCAGATCAGAAATAAACAATTCCTTAAGAAGTAGGTGATAAGAAATTAATCTTGCAAAATTAAAAGATTTATGGTATGACCTAAGCTATGGAAGGTTTAGTAGTTGGATATTTTGTTTCAAGTTGGCAATATTTCTCATTTCTAGGCCTTCAGTCAAGCATAGCTAAAACTAGCAGTGACTCCATTGGATTTAGCAGCCAATAAAAAGTTATTAATTTTAGCCTAATGCCTGATAAAAGCAATGATTTCAGAATATACAATTGCAACAGAAATTTTCAATGCCAAATAACAGTAACAATGCTTTGTCCCCTGCAAAAGCAGTGAAATAACTCCTAGTAATCTGGCACTGGGCAATAGCAGAAACAAGGGCATAGCAGCAAGAAGAAAAACATGAAAATTAAATATATCACCTGTTATGCAACTAGTTTTAAACTTACTAAATATCTGTGCCAAATCTCAAAAGGTAGTGAAAGGAAAATCTACTCTGTCCATCTTCAGGATTTGTGGTTAGAAAATATTAAGGGCAGGAAACTATGTTTTCTAAACTTATTGAAGCTTCAGCTTAAGGTATAGCTGATTAGAAAACTGATTAGATGTGTGGGATGGGCAAAACCTTCATGCCAGATATTGGTTGATTTGAGGAAAAGTAAAACAGCAGTAGCTAAAAATTTCTGCACAACTGGCCACTGGCAAGGTACAGAGACTGAGAAGGAGAAAGTGTTTTATTCTGCAGATTAGCAGGGAAAAAAAAAATATTAAAACAAACAGAACAGCTTATTTGAAGAACATGTTTTCACATTTAGGAGCAAATCCACTTTATGTAAATTACACTGAAGTATCAGAGAGGGGGTGGTACAGAGGTGGCTGACAGCATTAATTTTAGTCAGAGCAGACCATCTATTTCATTGTATTACATAAGATTTGGTTGCAAAGCCCATTAAAGTTAACTGACTCTTAATTCACTTCACTAGTCTTTGAATTTGACCCAGAATTTAAACAGCATGACTACTTGCTTTGTAAGCACAAGGTCTGAAAAAATTCCAGTTTGCAGATGAGATTTTCCATGTTGGAGTTGAACCACACTGACAAAATGTGTATTTTGCACATTAGATCTCTTTTGCTGCAAAAATATTCTCACTCTTACCTGCACATTTTCTTCTGTAACTTGAATTTCAGCAGTGTAAATATAATCAATAAGCATCCTTAGAGTCCAGCCATCAACTTCCTTTATTCGAACTCTCTTTGCTCGGCTTTCACTCATCTCACCTACAAATACAGTTTTAGTCAAGTAAAATAGATAGAAATACAGCACAAATGTAGAAGTTTAACAGCAGAACTTCATGTATGATCAGTTATTATTCAAGTTGTTTTACTATCACAACTCAATTTCTTTCCTTCCTTCCTTCCTCCAATGAAAAACGCAGACTTTGCCATTACCATCATGCAAATGCTACCTGGGTTAATACTTTTACTGCAGGTAACCTATTTTCTTCAGTGTACAGTATCAGGAAAATAGTTATCAGACCCAAATAAGACTCTTCAAATGCATACAGAAACATTTTGCTGGCAAAGCAAGCTATTAAAATACTCTAGCTTTATTAACTTCTTAAAGAAGCATACCAAATGCAGCCTGTAGTATTATTATTTAAGTAAGAAAAATTACATCCCCACAGAAGAATTAACATACATATTTCTTTGCTTGTCTACTTAGCAATTTCACCTCTGTTACAGATCTGATTTAACAGTTAAGCTAAGATAAAATGGTAAGCAAGGGAAAATGTTGGATCTCATTTTGTGGAGGCTGTCATACTGGCCATATGCCACAGCTGATCTTCACAGGAAGGCCTGCAAAATAGCTTCCCCATTCTAAAAGATGTTTCTCAAAAGGTATCATTTTGTTTATACCTGAAATAATTGTCCAAAGATACATTTTGAAGTAATAATTATAACCTTCTCCATAACTACCAACCACACATCTAGTAATCTCAGACCTTTAACTCTTTTTGTATTGACTTGCACTGGGAAACAAAACATGAACTACACCAGTTATGCTGGTAGATACATAAACTTTAACTTTGGAAGACTATATCCCAATCTCTTTTATATGGAATGTATCCTTATTTCTTTCCCCTAGGCATCTAAAGATATGGGTATTGATGAGGTAACAAATTTAATGTAACAACAGAAGATGACAGGATAGGGCATTGAACAAGATGATGCTGACCATAGATGGTATTTCCTTATGAAGTACATACACATTTTCATTGTTTGTTATCCGGTGGTCTCTAGGGTTGTTGCCAAACAAGTGCATTTTACTCAGTGCTTTTGGCAAAGGGATCATCACCAGGAAATTTGTTACTATTATTCATGCCTTTTTTTTGAGCTGAAGGGTGAGGAATGGCATTTTAAATCAACCCTTTGAGTGATAGGGAGTGCAGAAGACCATCCACAGCAACATGCTACTACTTAATGGCAGCACAGGTTGCTAGCATTCTAGAAAGCACTGATGAAGAACCACATCAGAAACCAGCAAAATCCAGCCCCCACAGAACTTTCTCTTTTTACCAGCTCTTCTGAAACATTTCCCTACACCTCTGAAGGGTGGTTGCAGTGTGTTCTCTGTAGGGTCCGGTATTCCAAGTTTCTACTGCTAGTGTGACACAGATTAAACCTATTGATCTTCAGAGCATGTATACTGCAAGTTATTTATTATGTAAGCTGCTGTGGAGGTGGTCCTTTGGGAAAATTGTGTGTGTGGGAGAGCAGAGTTTCATATTCTGCCAGCACATTAGGTTTGTTTTCAGATTTTGTGTCAAGGCTTCTAGAGCCATGGATAGGCACTTTCTCTGTTTAACAACAGAGCCCAGAATATACACCAAAAAAAAACCCCAAAACCAAAGACTTGCTTCTACCTTTCATGCTAAACAGACATGTAGTCTTACTATGATTCTAGATCAGTCCTCTCATGATCCAGACTTGTTTGACAGATCACATGCAGGAAACCATAGATTCCCTCGCTAGGCAGTCTCAGTTCAGACTTTAACCTGTGGAAGAATTCAATTTATGACTGTGAAGCTGCACTACTGTATCTCCTCAGAGTTGTTAGTGACAGGAAAGCATATTGAGAACAGAAAGGAAAGCACTGAGCTGATCCAACCTCCCAAGCAGAGCACTAATTGAGTTGAACTTACAAAAAAGCTATCTAAAAAGCTTATGGTTCCTCACAAAGTAATGTAAGGAAGGCTTTTCTTTTTTCTTTTTATTTTTTTTTTAAAGCAGAATTTTACTAATGGAGAATGGAAGTAAAGAGAGCAGGTAATTCTCTAAGGATAACCGGCATCACAGAAGATGAAATTAAAATCAGGCCACCCTTGTCCTACAGCCAGTGAAGTGTCCCAAGCCATGTCCTACAGCCAGTGAAGTGTCCCTTTTAACAGTTGTTTCGTAATTCTTTCCTCTAAACATTTAAGTGTATTTAATTCAGATCACTGTACACATTTCTAAAGAATTTCACTGTATAAAGAAGGATTATCCCTAGTAACATAGTCCCAGATGTTTCCTCCTTCCCCCCACCCCCTGCCCTTTATAGGACAAATGCTACTAACTTACTAAATTTTGTAACTTTAAAAGGCAGTAACTTTTTCTTCATGGATATTTAATACATCTACTTCTATCATTACAAGTGCAAACAGGAAAAAAACCCCAGGCAGAGGGTTTGATCTCAGTTAATGCCATATCCCGGCCTGCTTAGCAGTCAGTAACTAATGACTCAGAGAAAGATGGAAGTAACCTACAAACATGTGTCTAAATATAAGCTTCTAATTTCTAGTCAAGAACTAACCCTGAAGCATAAATGCGCAATTTGGTTTTACTGTCTTTTCAGTCACTGTTTTACTCTGGATGGAGGAAGATACTTTTCCATTTGGTTGTAGCTGGTTAGGGGATCAAACTTGCTTGTTTGAACTTGCAGATTACTGGATGAGAATACAAATCCACCTGAGAAGTGTAAATTGCAGGGTTCATGGAGGTAACAATTATGATGAACTTCAGGATTTTTTTCTCTGGGGAATGGCTGAAATGCACCAACACCACAGCTGGGCCTTGCTGAAAGCAACCTATGAGAGTAATATAAAATCTGTTGATAACTCTTGAAGCCACAGCTGAATTCTATTTAAACTCCCACCAATCTGGTTCACCAACTACACAAACATTGCCATAGATGTACAGGTTAAACACTTCCCACCCATTACTCAGGTGAGCCTTCCCACCTCCCATACCATTGGGGGTCAAAGACCACCTACATTTGAAAACATAAAATAAGCAAAAAAATTTTTAAAGGGACTGAAGAAGGGAAAGAACCAAGATTCCAGTGATTTCATCTGGAGAGTGTCCACAGACACTGCTGCACTGGCACTCCTAATGGGTAATAAACTTCTCGACAGAAAGAAAGAGTAGTCAAGGCAAGCAGAAATGTCTTGGACACAAAAAGCATAATATAAAACTATACTCTGAGTAAAGAATATTTTCAGTGTGACAGTCAATAACATTAATCTTTAATACAGAATTAATGTAAGAGGCTTGTGTTTCTGTTACTAAGGTGATGAAAAGAACTGTAGAAGCAGCTGTTTTCATTCTAACATTAAGGACAGCAGTAAAAATTAAGAAAGAATCTATCAATCACCTGGAATGTTTGTCTCAACCACAAATGCAAATCAAAGAAATACTAGAGGATTAGATAGTTAATTTTACACACAACTTTAAAGCATTGTTGCTGCTAGTAGTGACTCCATTTCTAGCTTTGATTGTGTCAAAATATTTGCATATAAAGTCAAGAATATTCAGCTGCTTCCCCAGGACACAACAGTACTTCAAATTTCATCAATCTTCCAGTTGCATACAATTAAAGTATTAAAACTCCAATTTGCTTGTATACTGGCAGATCAAGAGTCACATTTCTGCCTCCACCTGAGATGGTAGTCAGCCACACTATGTTGCAGAGAATTCTTTTAATTTCAGACAGTCAACTTTAACTATTGAACTGGCACGAGATTTGAGAAAGACAAAACTTCAGAAGTTAATTTTAACATGCATTTAGTAGCATTCTCACTTTGACACTGAATTCTACATGGTTTAGATGTGATTTATAATCATTATGGAATTAAACCTACAGCACAGGAATTCAGCTGGAGGCTCCTGTGAACCTGAACCTATCTTAGCCTTGCAAGCCCTCAGCATTCCTGTTGTAGCAACAAAGCAGTAACTTGGCCAGCACAGAGGGAGCAGAGGCAGAATCAAGCCTGCACAGAAAAGTGGTGGCAATGATGCAGAGTACACATGCCACAGAGAATAACCCTAAAAATACCAAAACATACACTCCAGCTATAGGCTGCCAAAGCCACAGACAGCTTTCATATCTACTAAAAGCCTAGAGTACTCAGGGTCTGAAGAACATAGCAGCAGTAATTGTTAAGGACATAATTTACTACAAAATTCACATGAAAGTCACTTTAACCTTCTTCTGGACAAGTGAAATTACTAGATCCTTAAAGAGTATAACAACTTTACCATTTCTGGCTTAGTTAACACAAATTTGTTTAAATGAATGAGACTTTTTAAAGCATTCATCATACTAATGAAGAATAAGCTATCAGTGTATCCTTGCTGTATCCTGCAAAAATAATTCATTAAGAAACCCAAATGTTCCTATTTGTTTATCTAAAAATTAAACAAGATCCTAAAAAGCAGGAGTAATTCATTTATACAACTGGACTGGACTAGAACATATTAAGTATTGAAACATTTGGTACCTGTAAACATGGCATGGAAGTAGGGGCTGCAGGCGGCTAGCACAACTCTATGCGCTGCAATTTCCATGTCTTCAGCTACTATCGTCACATCACACAGCAAGTTTTGACTATTTAGAAATATCAGAGAAGGCAATTTCACATAAGTGAACTACAACAGAAAAGCATATAATATCACACACAATTTCTTTTCCCATGCCCTCAAGAGAGTCCAGCAGACAAAGCACTGTTTTTAAATGCATTACACAACCACATGGCTATTAGTCAGATTACAGATGGTGCTTGGGTACACAGAACTTTCTAAAAATCAAACAACTAAATTGTGACTTCTTGCACAGAAGTTTTCTGCATTGAATAACCAAAATTTGTATAAGCCCAGTTTATAAACCTTCTCACCAGATGTCTGAGTCTCTCTGAATAAATGTGACAGAAAAAAAGTATTTGATATATACAAATACTAAAAAAATTGAGGTAAACAACAAAGACTTTACAGATAAAGAATCCAGACTTCAGTTGTGATGCCTGTGTCACAGTACACTGGAAACTCATGCTTACTTTATGTTCAAAATCACTACTTGACCATCTCTATATTTTCAAGTATTTTTCATACACAGCCCATGCACACAACAGCAATTATTTTTTCCACTCTGACCAGTTTAGAATTTATTATGGTTAACTTCATATCTTGTCTGATGATTTTATCTTCATTACATCTATTTGCATTCCTGTCCTTTGCAAATGTAATATGTATTTCCTCCATCTTCTGTGGCAATAAAACAACATCTCATTTATAATCATTCCTAATACAGGTGCTTCCAATGCAGTTTACAGCTATAGGATATACCTCTTCCAGCTAAACCCACCACACCATGTACTCTTTATAATCCAATTTTCTAGATTGGAAAGGGGGGGGGGGGGGGGGGGGGGGG